GCCTCACACCCCTCTGAAGGCCTGTCGTCCCGTGGCACAGGGGCTCAAAGTCATCGACAACACGTACTACGGCACGCACTCGTCGCAAGACTGCGTCGAGCTCACCGTGATTTTCTACGCGCCGCCCAAGCGCTGGATGGACCTGATCAACCGGAACCCGGATCTCAACCCCAAGGCGCACTGCTACATCAGCGAGTACCACTGTCCGGACGAAGTTGTCCCGGGGATGAGCCCATACGCCCCCAAGTACAACGTGTTTGACAAGAAGGACGGCAAGGCTCCGTACAAGAACTTCCCGCCGCAAATTGATGCGCTTCCCGTGAAGGCCCTCTCCTACCCGGAGGTCAACCTGTTCGGCTTCTGTGGCGACTACATCGTCCAATACTCGCCCCTCCTCGATCGACTTTTCACGTCGGATAGCAGCAGACATGCTCTAGCGACTAGCCTCTAGCAGAGCCAGAGTGCAGAGGTTGTCGGCTAGGACGAGGACGAGGAGGGAGAAGTGGACGCTGCGCGTGTGTATGATATTGTTTGAGAGGTCGTCACCGTGAGACTCGAGACTTGCGCCACTTTGAAATTACTCTTAGGTCGTGTTCTCTCGTATCACTCTAGTACATTATTTTGGGTGAGGTGGGGATGTCGGGGTGGGGAGTGGGTGGGCGCCGGAGTGGGAGTGGTGTGACTGCTCCTGTGGTGCGGGCGACGGCTTCTGACGAAGCCGTCGCTCACACACACACACACACACAGTAGGTAGGTAGGTAGTAAGGTGAAGAACAGCCAGGCTCAGACTGGACACCAACGCGGTATGGGTGGACGCTGGACAGATGATGACGACACGCACGAGCGACACACAGACACAAACAGGCTCACAAGACACTCAGCCAGCTGGCTGCCACACACCCTGAGTTGGCGCACACATAACTCAAGGCCACATCCTCCCTGTCGCCCCCCCCAGCACTCCACGGTGCCAAGGAGTACAAACAAGGGCACAACAAACAACAGACGACAGGAAGTGATATGCACACACAGCCGTCGCTCGCGACCTCCGTGAATTCTTCTTCGAGAGCGCCGCCTTCTAGCCGCGACCGCAGTTCAGAACGGGCGCCTACGCAGTGATGGCCACGCCAGAGCGGCCCTCCGAGTCGTTCGAGTCGTCTGCGAGGTCCAGCGGGGTCTATGTGGACGAAGCGCCCGCATCGAGGCCGAGGAGCTTCGGCTGTGGGACCCTTCCCGCCGGCGGCTGCAAGATGGCGGTCGGCTCCGTCTCCGGCCGGCAGCCTGTCACCCGGCAGCGCGCAAGCACGGACGTGGCTCGTCGGCCCCCCCAACCACAGGCCGAGACGTACACCACCGCGCAGCTCCTCTCGGTGATGAAACTCGGGCCGGCAGGGTGGGCGGCCGGCGACGACGACGGCGGCCAGGCGGGCGACGCCTTCTACGCGTCCCCCGACCCCTCGCGCACCAGCCT